GGTTGGTCCAGTAGCGCCGAGGAGCGGCGCTGCGGGACCAACCCGGCAGCGCCCCAGATGCTCTACCCCAGGCATCGTAGGCGAGAAAAGCTTGGTCTGCTAGGGGGGAGGGGGCGCACTAGTTGCCTGCCCGCATCCTCCGCAGCTTTGCTCCGCGTCTCCCTGGTCCAGCAGACCAGGGAGACGTGGAGCAGCTTTTCTCACCCCGGAGGATGTGGGCGGCGGGACCGCAGCGCATCTGGGCGTCCCGCCGCTCCCGTCCTCTGGGGCGAGAAAAGCCCCGTTCGTAACTCCGGATCCGACATAAGTCGGATCCACGTAACTCGGGGACTGCCTGTAGTTTTATAGTATGAGGCAATTCTATTTTGAGTTAAAGATGATTAGTACTTCTTAAATTAATTTTTTTAAGCCAATCATGGTAAACCAAGCCAGGCCTGTGCACCTGAAGATGTGACAGTATTGTGGCTGGGGGCAATGCCGCTTAACAAAGTTTTCTGGTTAACAGAGTGCCGGAAAAAAAAGGTTTCAGTGTATTTAGCTTCAGCTTCCTGACATTGGATTTTGGTACGCTAGATTAGAGAGCCTTCTCCTATCAGAAATCCTTCCATATGGGTACTTAGAAACTGCATACTTGTCATTTGCAGTCATTTAATATTCTAAGTTGAGAAGCTAAAAAATAAATAACTTCTTGGACTCTAGAACCATGAAACATTTGTTGCTCTCTATATACTTACTTACTTCTAAACTTTTGTGGAGTCCACATGGATTTCTTCGGTGTCTTATGGGAAAAGGTGAAAAGTTTTAAAATGGCCTCTTTCTTTCTTTGCTGTAGCCAGTGATCTGCTGGCCCAAACTATAACAGACAGAAGTCTGATTTCACCTGCACATGAGACAGTTAGATGTCTAACTGCTGTTGTTTACACATGCATTTTAATCACGGCGGTCATTTGGTGCCCATAGTTGATTATAGGTGAGATAACAGAGGCTTTTCAGGCCTTTAAAAAAAATCTGGCTCAAAGGAATCAAACGGATCATTTTCCAACTAAGACTAGCTGTATCCACTAATGGAGCCTGTCATTTAAATGGAACCCTCAGATTTCCAAAAAGTTCTCAGATTTCAAAAAGATATTCAGTTTATGGCTCCAAATTGTGCTTTTTGTGAGTGTGGCATTTTGATGGAATTAGACCCTGTAAGCAAGAACTGCACAAATGGGTTGTATGAGCTAAATTTCAAGGAAGACACATTTCAAACTTTTTTTACACTGAGATAGGGTTGTTCTTCTGAGAATTTAATGCTCAAGTCAAATAATTTCATTAACCTCAGTAGTCATTGCAGGCCCATCATAGAGTTATATCAGTACTGTATAAACTTTTATAATAATTGATATTATTCCTTTCTGATTCTACACTTCAAGCAGTTACTTCGACAATGTCAAAATAACGTCAAACTGGAGGACGTCTTACTCTGACTCCTGTAACCCTTAATTCATGGAGGAGTAAAGGAAGTCAGAGGAAGAGTGCTCTACTTCAAACTTTCTGCTGTTTAGCCAGTGCCAAAAGCTGAAATAAGCTATTTTGACTTACGCTACACAATTGATGTAGCTCAAGTTGCGTAGCTTATTTCAGCTTTAACCCTGCTTTGTAGACGTGCCTTAGGTGTATAACTCCCACTGATGTCAATGGACATTAGTCATCTATATCTCTGAGGTCCTGGAATCAAGTTCTTATATTACTTAGAACAATGGTGACTCTAAAAACTGTGAGGATAACTAGATAATTTTATCTGATTTTTGTAATAGATAACTCATGAAATATGGAAAAGGGAAGTATTCAGGAATCTAAACTCAGGTGGTTTTGCTTTATTTTATATTGAAATAAAGTCAACACCCATGGTGGTCACTAATAAGAGCTCACAATACAGTATTTTGTATTACCATAAACTATTTTGTAAATTCTCACCACAGTTATTTCGGAGTAAGTTGTGGTAAGGGTGATAAGAGGAATGGGAAGTGACTGTCTATGAAGGAGTCTATAGAAAGGGATCTAGGGGTCATAGTGGATTACAAGCTAAATACAAGTCAACAGTGTGACTCTGTTGCAAAACAAACAAAAAAAAACACCCCACATTATTCTAGGATGCCTTAAAAGGAGTGTTGTGAGAAGACAAGTAGTAATTATTTGCTTCTACTCTGAGCTGACTAGGCCACAACTGGAGTAATGTGTCCAGTTCTGGGCAACACTTTTCAGGAAAGGTGGAGAAACTGGAGAAGGCTGAAAGAAGACTGAAAACTGGATTTTTAATTTGGAAAAGAGAAGAATGAGAGGGGACATGACAGCAGCCTGTAAGTACCTAAAAGGGAACAAGGAGAAGGGAGAAAAAAATATATATACTCTGAGGATAGGACAAAAAGCAATGGGGATTAAATTGCAGCAAGGGAGGTTTAGGTTGAACACTAGGAAAAACTTCCTGTCAGGGTGGTTAAACACTGAAATAAATTGTTTAAGGAAGTTGTGGAATCTCCATCATTGGACAAAGTTAAGAGCAGGTTATACAGAAATCTGTCAGGTGCTTGGTCTTGGTCTTGGTCTTGCCATGAGAGCAAGGGACTGGACTTGACTTCTCAAGGTCCCTTCCAGTTCTAGTTTTCTATGATTCTATGAAGAGTCATTAAATAGCCTCCTGTGTGTATGCCAAAAACTGGAGAAACGAGGAAACATTTAAAAATACAGTTTAAAATTTTTATTTCAGAATGTGAGCGAAGAGAATGTAAAGGACTAGAAAATAAAGAACGATTTATTTAAATCCCCTTACTTGCATAATACTATTTGCATTTATAATATACCCATCTTGAGCCTATGAAAACAAATTAAGATCTTAATATCAAAAGAAAACTCTATCCCAAGCAGAAATAGAAATGGTCACATTCAGATATTTACGGTCAAGCCAAAGCTTGGAATAAAAAGAGGTCTTACTGCCTGCTTGAAAGGTCAAACAAATAAGCTTTTGAGACCAATTCCAGGGCTCAATGCCTCTTCTCCCAAACCTAGCCCAACTATAGCAAATGCATCAACAGTTCTCAACTGTTAACATAACGTGTAAGTTAATCCACTGTTTCAAAGATCACAGTAAATACTTCATATTACAGTCAGAAGCAAGCTGGACTCCTATGTTGAATGTACTTGAAATAGAGCTGGTTGAAATTTAAAAGCCAAGGTCTGAAAAAAACACAAGCCCATTGAAAATTCCAAGTTCTATTCATTTTGCAAAGCTCAAAATGGACTGACAGCATTTATTTTTTCATGAACATTACTGAAAATACTGTCTATGGATTTTGGTTCCCAAAAATAGTTGTTGGTATGCAATGCTGATAATATATTGAATATAAATTTTCACTAAAGTATAACAAATTTTGCATACAAAAAATTAGAAAAGACAACTGTTTATAAACTTTTTTCATACTAGAAGCCATTTTTCTACAAATCAATTTAGTGTGCAACTACTTTTTGAACTACTGGAAATCTGTTTGTTCTCAAAGAAGCTGTATATTTTTGTAAAAACTTATTGTACACCTTAGAGGTCACAAAAGCATCAGTCTCTACATCTGGTCCACATCTGAAAATAAAAGGTCCCAATTTCATT